ATGGTGATGAACAACCGTTGATGTGCCGAGATGTTGTCGTGGGATCGAGCCGGCGACTGCGGCTCCCACACGGTGACAGAGATAGCACGATGATACAGCACGACGAAGCACGACGAGCCGAGACATGGCTAGTGGGGTGCGCGGTCTCAATGGAAATAAAAAAAACGCGGTACATGACCCAGCGAACACGACCCGCGGGTCAGGTTGTGTTGCACATCACACTTCGGTGCGCATTGTGTTTCTATTCCTTGCTATTCTTGCTATCGTTTCTACTCACTGCTATTCGTCGTTTCTATTCATTGCTACTGCTTTGCAACGTGGACTGACCTTGTATCGTGTAGGACGTGCAGACGAGGATGGCGATGAATAGCCATCGATGGCGATGAACAACCGTTGATGTGCCGAGATATTGTCGTCTGGCGAAAATCGGTTAGCGAGCCGATGCATGTAAAGAGGCCAGCTTCGCGAAATACCGCGCAGCTTATGTCGGCAGCGCAACTAGTCTACAACCGCCAGCTTTAAAGCAACCGCATCTGAAGATAAGTAAACCGGATGTGTATATATGCGGTGCAGTTATATTGTAGCGAGCCAACGTCCATGAACAAAACAGCTTCACAAAATGCCGTACAGCCTACACGGACAACATTGGACAAGCACTGCACAGTTCAGTGCGCGTCAAATTGCGTGGTTCGGTGTACGTTAAATTGCGCATTGAATTGCATGTTTAATTGCATGTCGAGTTGTGTGGTGGGTTGCGTGTTAAAATGCGCGAGTCGGCGCATGTCAAATTGCGCAGTGCGGTGCAGCCAATGTTTTGCGATTTGCGTGTTAAATCGTGGTGCGGTACGGTGCAGTGTGGTGCGGTGCGGTAAGCGGTCCTGAACGAAAAAACAAAAAAAACTCACGCACCGGGATCGAGCCGGCGACCGCGGTTCCCATTCAGTGTCGGAGCTAGCGCACACCACAAGCGGTGAGCACCGATGCTCCGGGGCGCATTGCGCGGGTCCAGGTGTGGTGCGGTGCGATGCACTGCCACACGCAGTGTGGCGCGGTGCGGTGCAACGCGGTGCAGTGCGGTGCGGCGCGGACACCGAAGCGGTGCACGGCGATGCTCGGGGGCGCATTGCGCGGGCCCAGGCGTGGAGCAGTGCAGTCCGGGACGACGCGGTGTGCAGTGCACGGTCCAGAACGAAAAGAAATGAACAATAAACGACGACGACGCGAAAAACGAACCACGCGACGACGAAGGCAGCGCTCCCGAACGAAAAATATAAGAAAGCGGGCGCCGGGCGACGAAGCGAGCGAGCCGCAACGTAAACGTAGAAAATGGACATAAGACGCGCCGGCACCGGGATCGAACCTGCGACTGCGATTCCCACTCGACGTCGGAGCTAGCGCACCCAACGAAGCAGCGCACGGCCATGCTCCGAGGCGGCTTCCGCGGGCCCAGGTGTGGTGCGGTGCGGTGCCATCCATAGTAGTCCGGTGCGGCGCGCTGCGCCGAACGAAACAACAAAACCGCAAAAAGCGGCGACGACGACGGGGCGCGAACCGGCGACCGTGGCTCCCAAGCGGCGACGGAGCTAGCCTAAAAGCTGCGGCTCCGAAACCGCGCACGACACGGCGAAAAACGCGAAAACAGCAGCAACTCCGAACAGACGGACGGACAGCAAAGTTGGGGTAAGGTCTCCGTCCCGATGACGGAACGACTACGACGATAATAATAACGTCACACACAACACACCGACATACATGCGGGTGACAGGCGCATGCATGCATCACGTTCTCCGCAACCCTCCCCAATGAGCAATATATGGTGAGCAATTTTATATTCGTAACTGCTCCTATCCGCCTGTACATTTCCGTCGCATTTCAGCAATGCCTTTGCTCACTTTGCAGGTTTCGTGGTCCCTCACCCTTGGGAAATTTGTGCTGTATCCATGGCTGCCAAATCGGATGCCTGAACACCAGCTCATAACTGGGAGCTCCAGAGCTAGTCTCGACATTATTTTCCATTATGAAGCCCTCAATAGGTGCTGTTGAAAAGGTGACCTGTGTGGTATCCTGGTTACCAAGGGCCAGCATACCCTGCCAAAAACTCAGACGCAATCAGTACTAATCAGCATGTGCTGTACTTCGTGTTCAACCTGTACAGGTTGCACATGTGCACCTCTTTTTTTACAAGTGCCAAGTCTGGATGCTGGCATGAGCACTTCACTGTTCATTGGTCAGCTGGGCTAACCAGCAAATAAACGTGTTGGAACTGGCAGTCTTGGCTGCTGGCACACCAGCACTTACAGTAAGTGGTTGCTTGTTGATGTGGTGGT